TCTTCAACCTCTCCTTCATGTAAATTCTCACCTTCCTGTTTTAAAATCATCGACACTGATCAATCCACTTTCTCACTCAAAATCAGGAAGCTCTACACATAATAAAACTAATCCTGATTTAAATATCCAGTTCACTACAACACTATATTTACTTTATAATATTTTTTGTTATAAGTTCTTAATACTTATTTTTTCTTTTCAATTTTAAATAATTTTGTAACTAAATCATAATAATACTGTAATTAATTTATTCATATCATATTACGTATCATATTACTTAACACTAACCATTCTGCACTGAAGATGGCATTCTGATAATGTCGAAACATGTTTGCTTTCAAAAAAATCGTCGTTTTTCTCAAATGCATAGTTTTAGTGGTGACAGCATAAAACACGAGAAAATAAAATCTCACATGGAGGCATACAGACAGTGGAAGTTATTTGATTCGAGGGAGAGTGTTGATGTTTTGTTTTCGAGAGCTCGGCGAGAAGCAGTAGAGAGGCACAATGAGGAGGTAAGGCAAAACAGAGATGCTAAAAATATTGGGAGGCAGTTTTATATCTTGCCAAACAGGAATTAGCATTTAGAGGACATGATGAGAGGAGGGCTAGTCTTAACCAGGGTAATTATAGAGAATTACTAAAATGCTTTGGAAAATTGGATTCTGTTTTTGACCGTCGTTTGCAAGGTAGACTGCAAGGTACAGAGAGTGGATGAAGGTGGAGTTTTACTGGGGTTTCAGCTGATGTCCAAAATGATTTAATTGAGTGTATTGACTCAGTCATTCAGGATGAGATCGATGATGAAATGAAAGAGTGTCAGTTTTTTAGCATTCAAGTTGATGAAACAACTGATGTTACAGCAAAAGCACAACTCAGTGCCATTATTCGACTAAATGAAGGGAGTGAAATTGTGGAAAGATTTTTAAAATTTAGAAATGTTAGTACCCGAAGTGCACAAGGTATTAGTGATATAGTTAAAGGCATCTTAGAGATATGGAGAGGCTGTAATACCTAAATTAGTGATGCAGACTTATGATGGGGCATCTGTGATGAGTGGTCATCTAAATGGTTTACAGGCAATTTTAAGACAGGTGTACCCTATGCTTATTTTTTCATTGTGCAGCACATAGGCTTAATTTGGTTTTATGTCAATCTGCTTTGAAAATTAAGGAGGTGAAAATATTTTTTGCTAATGTTTCTGCATTTTCCACCTTTACAAATTCCAGTCCTGAAAGAAAATCCCATTTGAAATCTCATGGGGTTGATATATCTGCTCCAGGGGAAACTAGGTGGTATTTCAAATCTCGAGCTGTGTCTGCTATTTTTAATAATTATGATACACTAGTGAAAGCCTTTAAAGAGATAAGTGAAAATCCTTGGAAATGGACTGATGAAACAAGTACACGTACTGATGGCCTCCTCCACTACCTTGAATCATTTCTTTTTTGTTTCCTTTTACTACTTTACTACCAAATCTTGGAGAGATCAGCCATTTTATATGATATTCTACAAAATAGGTCTACTGATTATGCATTTGGCATGAGAAAAATTGAAGAATTTGGTAATTTTCTAATTTCCCTCCGCAATGAAACAGCTTTTGAAATTTGTTATTCTGCAACTGAAAGTAAAACTGGTCCTCCATCTCGAAAATCTGAGATAAATATAAATTTTAAACAGCTCTATTACGAAGTCATTGATTGTGTAACAAATATGCTTAAGGAAAGATTCACGGATGCAGAGAGCTTTTCATTTCTTGACTTAGTCAATCCTAAACTTTTTGTGCAGTGGAAAACAGCTATTCCTAATGAAAAATTCAATAACTATCAGCAAAATATGGTCCTCTCTTTAATATACCTAGGCTTCGAAGTCAACTTTTTGTGTACCAAGATAAAGATTTTTAAAAGATAACTCCATGGAATTATTGAAATACATTTATCACATTGGTATTCACCAGTGTATACCGAATTTGTTAAATTATTGAAACTTAACGCTGTTATTGCCATTTCTAGTGCTTCAGCTGAAAGATCGTTTTCATGTTTAAATAGGGTGAAAACTTTTTTAAGGAATTCAATGGGGGATGAACGCCTTGACTCATTATGCAGAATTTCAATTCATAAAGATATTTTAAAAGCAAAAGACGATCAAAAGCAATTACATCCAGCCATCCTGGATAAGTATATTAAAAAACCTCGCAGACTAAATTTTTCATACAAATGAGTCTGCATGGCTCATTTTTCACTCTCTAATGCCGCTTTAAGCAAACCAAAAACAAATCTTTGAAAATGTATGTTTTTAATAATTAGTTATTGCACTTGATACAACCATTTGTCTCCTCTGAAGCAGATCAGCAATAATCACTAAACCAAATAAACTGCGCTTAAAAATGTGCTCGATAAAGGTTAAACTTTTCTGGAAAAATTGTGAAATGGTTTTAAAGGGTTGGAAAAAGACCGGGATAAGATGAGAATTGAGCATTTTCATTCTTTAAAAAATGTCCCAGATGGTCTCCCATTTCTAACCAAATTCCTCTTTTCAACTGAGGTGTGAGGGCGAGAATCTGGGTAAGGACTTGTAGTACGTATTCCATATATGGATATATATTGCACAATCCATAAGAGCAAATACACGACGCTAAAGCGCAAATACATGACGATAAAGAGCAAATACACGACGTTAGCAACAACAAAAAGTCAAAATGGCTGCTCGAGGGAGTCATTCGATTTCTGAGCGACATCCATCTGTGTACTGTGATAATGAAACTTGTAGTCCTCTTATTGTACGTTGTGGTCGAAATGACTGTGGCGCTGAAAAATGCAATGGAGAGATGTATCATTGTCCTTTGTGTCCTCCTGAAAAATTTTCAAAAGAAATTCCATCAAGAGTAAAAGAACACTTTAAAAGCGTCCACTGGGAAAACAGGATTCATGAATTTGAAGGTAAAATGTGCTTATTTCTGCGTAGGTTTAATACATAACCCACGTCAATGAGCGAAACGCACAAAGAACTTTGGATTAAATCACAAGTATTGATTAAATCATGAAGAATTTAGGTAATTTTAATAAATAATTTGAGAAATTGGGTTTAAACTTATAAAATATTTAGTTTTCTAAACTGCATCATCACAGCTGAAGATAGGTACTCTCAATTATAAATGAAAACCACATGCTTTTAACAGAAACTAACTTTGTGCTGTGCTATTTCCCTAAAATAGAAAAGCATTATTAACCTATCTTATATTTATTGAATATCATTTGATTGTATGCTCATCTAGTTAATATTGTATTCGTCTCACTATATATCCATAATATCCTATCATTTCCATATTCTTTCTTTACTATTTCTGGTTTTTTTATGTAAGGTTTTGACATTCTGAGGTGTAAGCTGTCATGTACTTTTGCATCCAAACGACATGGCTCAGATGTCAAGCATTTCAAAGATGTTTCGCACTATCACTGTTTTGGATGTAATTCTGGATTCAAGCGTCGCAATGAAGCAATTCGACATATAAGAAGTGCACATGATTTACAGCTTTCTGTTGTAGAGTTTGGTTGGAAACAACAACAATGTTCTCAAAGTCAACTTTCTCCACATAAAGTAGCCCAACAGCAAGTACCTCAAAACCTACCATTTGAGCAGCAAATGCATCAAACTCAGTTCCCTCAAGTTCAGCAGCATCAGCTGGAGCACCAAGTGACCACTCAGCATCTCACACAGCTGCAAACACAGCAACAACAAGAGCAATTCTACATATGCGGCTATCTGAGGAAACACACCAACAAAGCAGCACAAACATAGAAATGTCTGAGGTTCAACAATATCAGGAGTTTTCTTACATGCCTGCTCAGTCTCGTTCAATGCGACAACAACCACCCAGAGTTAAATGTCCCGGACTGCGAGAATTTCATCCAAATTCCCTTTCAAGCCACATAAAGACCAAACATGCTGCTGATAAAAGAAAGAAAATATCTTCAATGAGGTACTTGAATGGAATATGTGTTGACTCGACAAATGGGGTTTATCTTGTGAGGAAACAACTTAGTGGAACAGATCATCCCATTCATTGTCAATTTAAAACCACAAACTCTCCTTCTATTGCATGTAGTGTTGATACATGTCGTCAACTTAACTGCTTCAAGAAGTGGTCAAGCAAATTTTCTTTGTGATCATGTGCAGTCTACATATTTTATTGGGACGTCAACTGTTGTTGATCATTTAAGAGAAGATTCTCTTGATTATATAGTGAACACTTTGAAATGGTTGAAATTTGAACGGAGGTCTGAATGTCTGCAGTGGCAGAAACAAGCTAATGACAAGAATACCCCACTTGTTGTTCAGATGCCTGTCACACCTGATTCCTCCAATCGTTTCTTTCATTTTTCTGTGTTTGCAAATGTTAAACGGGATCATTACTGGTCATTTTGCAAGCGAGTAATTGTATCATATGACAATGAAACTTCATCATTTCATTGCAAATGCTGCCCATCTCGTCGTTCCTGCATGCATAAATGCATTGTTAAGTGGGCAATTGGACAGTGGCATCCCTCTGTTGTTGGCACCACCCACCAATTGATGATGAAATTGGTGAAGATTTAAGTTTACCAGAACCAGAAGATAATGCTGTTGAAGACGTTCTACTTGAAAATCAAAATCAAATTTCCCTATCTGGCAGCTTTTTATCCTCCTTCTGGAGATGTGGCTGCAAAGTTTGTTGAATACCTGTTTGCTGAAAAGAAAATCCCTTCACACCTTCCTTTGACATTAACTGTGGAAAAGGAACAATTTGCTAAAAGGTAACTGTTTATTTAAATCGAACAAAGCAACCTTTTATTATTGCATTGTCTTCACTCCAACGAAAATATTCTCCAACGGTTTAGTTCCTTATTGAAAATGACATTCTTTCCATTAACTAAAACAGCAAAAAGATTTATTGTTTGTATTGACATTGTCTTGTCTCCTAGTTACCTTCCTGTAGAAACCATCTGTTTTATTGTAAATCACCACTAACTGAGCCACACTGTGTAACAAGAAATGCAAAGTTGGTAACTATGAAAGGGATTATTGAAGGTTTGTCATTAATATGAAACAGCGTGTATATATCATCGATTTAAATCTCGAACTTTAGATAAGACATTGAGTTGAAGATAAACCCAAAATGTACAGTTACACATTTTATGGATTGTTTTGTATAGTTACCAGAGTGCTCAAACCTATAACGGTGAGCTTTGCATAGGGCGAAAGCGTTGAACGTGTCATATGGACTCTCTACGTAGTCTGTGGAAAATGCTCAAACTATGCATGAGCAGAAAGCGTATTATACAATGTATACATATATGTGTGTGTATCTTTTTCTTTGTTCTTCCAGGAATTTCGCTGTTTGCAAAGTTTTGTGTCGAGTGCAAGATACCGTACAGATACCAGGAGTATTCAGCTGGTGTTCACAATTTTAATGACAACTGGCTTTTAAGTTTGGGAATATGTGATATGATCAGAAAACATCTTCAGGTATGTTATTTTTAAAGCATTTAAGAACCACTTGTCACTATTCCTTCCTCTCTTTTTCTCTTGATGTAAATTTTTTTAACTGGGTGATGGCCTTAACCAAACTGTGCATCATCCATATTGTACCACCCCACTCCCCAATTTTTGCATGTTGATAGTTAAGAAAAACAAGGAAGGGATATTAATAACCAGGTATGCATGCTATAAATGAGCATGTATTGTATGAAAAATATAGGTTCACAACGCTGTCAGTCGCACTGTTGAGGCAATTGAAAACTGGCTGCAGTTGCGACCATTTCAGTTACCACGTGGTCAAATGATGAACGCGTATCTTCACTTTGAAGCTCTCTCAGATCATGACTATGGGTTTTCTTGTGTTTTGTGTGGACACTTTCCTCCCCTGTTAACTCTAGATGTAGACAAGAAAGGAATCTTTGAACTAGCGGGTAAATTTGACTGATAATTTGGCAAACTTTTTTTATGAGTGGTTTTTGTTACATACTTTTACATTGTCATTTTTTTAGGTTTGTTGACTTGAATTTTGATTTTGTTAACTTGTATTCATTTGCATTGTAGTTAGTGAACTTCAGTTGCCAGACCCCGAATCCGATGCTCCTGCAGATGAAGTGGACGCTGAAAAGTACTGGCAACAAGTGAACTGTGGGATCTTATACAGAGGAGTATTGAGAGGTACGTACGTGCTACAATGTTTATGTACTCACTGCACGTGAAAGTTTAACGTTTTTTCTTACATAATTTATTTTTTGGTTTATTTTTGTTTACAAATCCTTATGATTGATTTGTTTGATGTGCACGTAGCGTATACACCATCTGGTGTGTTTGAATTATGATAATGCTTGTAGTTTTTCAATTGTTTGTAGGTAATGAAAAAACCCTTTAGAAATCAAGCCTTCATATAAGTTTTGGGCCCCATATATTGGCCCAAAATGCAGAAGAGGAAGGAAACTTTTTAATACCGAATACATGAAAGCGTATCATAAACAAAACCTAACATCAGCTGGGGCTACATCTGATGAATGTTCAATTGAAAAGCTCATGGATTTGTTCTGTGAAGGAAAAGTGCGTATTGCTATTAATTATTAGGCTGTGTAGAAACTTTTGGGATGAGTTGGTTTACATAAAAGTCATTCTCTGTGTACTTTTAGGTACCTGTTATAAGAGAAATGGCCAGAAGTTTAAATGTGAGCGACAAGGGGTCGAAACTTGATATAATTAACCGTATAAAATCTGTTTTGAATATCGAAGAAACGTTTCTTAAACTTTTCTCAAAGATGTGGGTGGTTCAGGTAAGGTTAACTTGAAATTGTTTCACAAAGACGACGATTTTCGTAAAGCATTATGTATTGTGCTTCTTACCTTTATTCCTACCTACATACGTTTTATACATTAATCTTTTGTGGATATTGGTGTGTTAGCTTACAAAAATTCATCAAATGGTTTCCTTTTCGGGCAAAAGGTTCAGGTTCAATTCCTGTCTGATGACGTATGTGAGTTAGATATAACAAAAACATCATAGTTTTGTACTTTTATGTGTTAAATTTGTTGATATATTGAGTGCACATTGTGTGAGAAGACAGCAAACTTAGCAAATTCATTATTATAATTTCAAATGGATAAATAATTTTATTTTGGCACAGGCGGTTGGTTGGGAATGACGTGTCCACATGGAGTATGCTATGGTCTGAAATGGCTATTGCGACAAGAAGGACCACGAGATCATGTGGACATGCTTATGAATCTCGCTGCTGTTCCGAATGTTACCATATTGGATATGGCAAACATGATTGTAGCTCATGCAAGGAACAGAGGATACGACGTTTTTCATCCATTCCAAGGTCGTGTTGCTGAATATAGCCTGGAAAATATCAGACGAGCTAATAGTGGTGAGCTAGAGATAGACTGGCCTTGGTTTCCAAACGGAGAAAGATGCGACTTGTCAACTGTCGTACAAAGGTCGGATGGTGAGCAGCTTCTGTGTAATCCCTCAACTAGATCTTCTGATCATTACTGCCTGTTTGATCAATTTCACGAGAAAAATTCCACGAACCCAGCCGATTGCTTGCGAAGAGTGTCTTGCGTTAACCAACTTGCCGGGAAGATCAATTCAGAAACTGCTGAACAACTCAACAACAGACGAAACCGTGATAATTACTTCACAACATCTTTGACAGCTCACAATTCCGTCTTCATGGAGCGATTGGCAACTCATTTTAGTAATGAGAAATTAAACCAACGTATCATAAATACTCATCGCAAGCAGGTAAGTGAGTGTTTTATTCTTTATTTTTAATGGAGTCTAAGTGATGTTGCCTTTTCCAGTTGCCGGAATAATCTTTTAAAATGTATGAAATCTTCTGTCTCTTCACAGTTTGGAATGGCTATGAGTTTTAACTCCTTCGGTCAACTTATAAGTAGAAATGAAGATGATGGGACCGAGCAGGCATCACAACCAAAACGCGTCCGTTTGTCGACTGAAAGTCTTTCAACAGCTAACAGACCTGCCACAAGTAGCACTGGAACACTAAATGATGCTTGTGATGAGTTGACACACGTTGCTGAGAAAATGAATCCCTCAGCTACAAGCAGCTACGACCTTGTTATAGACTAGTTGTGACCTCGTCAGTCGTCATCAAAGCTTAAGTGATATTTGACATAAAGGAAGCTCAATTTCTGTTTGGTTGTTCACAGCTTGGCAAAGAACATTGTAACAAGTCGAATTCCAAAGTCGAATTCCATTACCATCTGTAGATCTAATTTCAATATATATACTTATTCATATAGAACTGATGTCCAATGCCTGAACACTAAATTCAAATTTCTTTGAAGCATTTCATCAAATTTTCTCAAATTTCTTTGAAGCATTTCATCAAATTTTCTCTTATATAATTCATAAAACTTCTAATTATGCCTAAAGTGAAAATTTTATGTAAAATAAAGACGTCCTTTGATGTGAACTGATATCTTTATACTATACGTTATACTATATATATAGTGTATACATAAACAATTTTTTGCGCATTGCTGTAACCTTTTAAAATGAGCACTACAGGAATCGAACCCATATACTAGAAACAGCTAGCAAACCATTATGCTCGTTTAAAGGACAACAACAAACTTTTTCTGTTTTTCCATCAAATTTTATCACGTTATTGATTGTTCTTAGTCTCCTTGATTGATCACAAACGCAAACTACTGCAAAATACAAATAGCTGATATTAATGTTCGAGGCATATAAGAATATTATCCCAATTTTAACGCAACCTGGGCACATTCACTTCTTCATTCAGGCCATGCAGTAAAACTTATTTTAAATGACAACTTTTCCCAGAACTGTTTCACCCCCCGAATGATAGGTCCCAAAGAAATTATGGATTTATCCACACTTGTTTTGAAAGGGATACGTTGCTCTAGTTTGGGTGAGATGTCAGTGAGCACTTGTTGCTGTAGAATCTCAAGTTTTTCTGTTGAATTCTGTTACCTTTTCATGGTGATTGGGAGAATACTGGAAGAGTGCTCCATCAAACACTCAACGATATTAGTAGAACATCTAAAACATTCAGATGCATTAGACGATAAACGTTCGACACAAAGAATAGCACAATTCGTTGCACGTTTGGCTCTGGTTCGTCCAGACCATTTTTTGTTTGTTACAACTCGTTGTAAAATAAGCAAATCAAACATATGATAATTAAATGGATTCAATAGACTCTTGAATGCTTTGCCGAACTACTTAAGAGGCAATATTATTATCATATAATATAATTAGAAAATAGTTTATGACGTTAATGATAGAAGAACATGGAAATCTACATGTATGTCTTATGTCTAATAGGAAATCTCTATAGAACTGTCCATTGAAAATCTTGTTGTTTTAATGTTTTCATATTACGTTTAAAGGACTGCTGTAATTGGAGAAAGTTCCTAGCCAATTGGTAGTAATCTATGTTACTTTCTGGTGAATATGTTGGGAGATTGGTGTCATACTTTATGGACATAGTAACGTTTTTTTACAAAACATTGAAATTTCTGGTGCAATCTTATATCATGTTTGGATCAATTGTTTCCTTTGGACAATTAATGAGTCGTGACATTCTACAATTTTTAAAAACTGCTGAAAAAGTGCTAATTCAACTTACTTTTCAGTTTTCTGCGTTTTTTTGCGATGCTCATTTTCTAACGGCTTATTACGATTCCTGGACTAATCGCAATAAAACGTGTATGTACGCGTTAATGAACAAAAAATACAAAATTGAGTCAACTAAATGCAGTAAATTCTTTCTGAACCGTATTGAACATACTTGTAACTTATTTACGGCACTCTAAGGAAACAGTGTGTTTTGTGGTTGAGAAACGCTGATGCATATTGCTCAGGAAAAAAGCTAAGGCAACAACAGCCAATGGTTTTGAGGCGAAAACGTAAGAGCACACAGGATTTTACCGTTAAAAGAATCATTAAATTAGTTAGTGCTGCATTCAATGTAGTAATCAGAAATTTTATCTACCACAAATGTCACTAAATCAACGTCAGTTTTGCAAGCAAATCTTCACACTTGGCTTGGACAAATAACTGGAAACAGTGGCGGATCCAGTGTACCTCAAAATAAATTATAGCTCCTCAATTTGATATTCAAATTACATTCAGAAAAACTATTGGTTTTGAATTTCTAAAGAATATAATTTTGCCAATGAATTTGCCTCTAAGATATATTGGATAAATGAACTTAACGTTGCGGTTTAACGATAAAATGGATCTATTAGCTGCTTTCGTTGAAAAGAACAGTTTCTCTCACTTCTTTCCACATATCACGTTGACACGTCATGGAAGTGCCAAATATTTTGTATTACTTTATCTCAAAATTTCTTTTAAATAAGATTCAATATGTACTAGTACGAAACCCTATGTAATGTACTTTTTAAAGTTATGGAACAATTATCTTTATAATATTGCCTTATGTTTTCTAACTTGCAGTACATCACATTGTATTTTTATCTCAATTTCAAAAAGTTGCCCGACTAGACGAACGACGGATGTCACTCCCTTGCCATACCCCCTCCCCCTTCCCAAGAAGTTTCAACCGTGTAGGACGATTAGATTACAAAATTGTATCTTTGAGTTGTTATATCATTGAAATTATAAGATAATATCTACAGAAACAGGCATGCACATGCAGCCAACAACTTCAACAGTTTTTAGAGGACACTAAAAGGTTATGCACCAGAGTTTATGAGTTTTAGAGGTTATGCACCCTCTCCGACAACACAGACATGAGACAATAAGGCCTGTCTTATACTTCACAATTTACATGAGTCAAATGCATTCAAAACAAAAGATAATGAGGAATTTCATCTCATTTTCTTTTATCTTTAATGCATTTGACGCATGTAAAATACAGTCATGAAACAATAAAGTCATTAAACAATACATTCATTGAACAATATAGTCATTAAACAATACAGTCATTAAACAATACAGTAATTAAACAATACAGTCATTGAACAATATAGTCATTGAACAATACAGTCATTAAACAATACAGTCATGAAACAATACAGTCATTAAACAACACAGTTATTGAACAATACAGTCATTAAACAATACAGTCATGAAACAATACAGTCATGAAACAATACAGTCATTAAACAATACATTCATTGAACAATATAGTCATTAAACAATACAGTCATTAAACAATATAGTTATTAAACAATACAGTCATTAAACAATACAATAATTAAACAATACAGTCATTAAACAATACAGTCATGAAACAATACAGTCATTAAACAATACATTCATTGAACAATATAGTCATTAAACAATACAGTCATTGAACAATACATTCATTGAACAATATAGTCATTAAACAATACAGTCATTAAACAATACAGTCATTAAACAATATAGTTATTAAACAAAACAGTCATTGAACAATACAGTCACTAAACAATATAGTTATTAAACAAAACAGTCATTAAAGAATACAGTCATTAAACAATACAGTCATGAAACAATACAGTCATTAGATAATAATGTCATCAAACAATATAATTATCAGCCAATAGGGTCATTAAATAATACAGTCATTAGACAATACAGTCATTTAAAAATGCAGTCATTAGACTATGTAATCATTACACAATACAGTCATTAAACAATACAGTCATTGAACAATACAGTCATGAAACAATACAGTCATTGAACAATACAGACATTAAACAATAAAGTCGTTGAACAATACAGTCATTAAACAATACAGTCATTAAACAATACAGTCATT